TGGCAGGCCGGATCCTGCCCCCGAACCATAGTTTGAGGACCCATGTTCTAAGGTAAGAGAAAAGACAGACGATGCAGTGGCAAAACACTGGAGGAATACGAGTGGAAAACAAGAGTGTCTTCACATGTATCATGCAACCTGTAGAATCCTGGGAATGAGGCATGATGCTGGAACACAAAAAACATTGTCTGGAAACACAACTTATCTGCACAGCCTTGATGTCTAGGACAATGTTCCTGTTGTTTCATGAAAGCCAAGATTCTCAGAATGGTGATTTCCACACCAGGTATGAAATTTGGAATTTGTGTGATGTGCTCATGGAATGTGCACAGAGACACAGGAAGCTCTGTCATTTGGCTAAGACAAGGCATGGCTCACAGACACTGTCAAGACACTCCCTGCAAGCAAGGTTAGCACTCCCATCTGCACTTAACGCCAGAAGCTAAGCCTCCCACCCAAATGATTCTTGGCCTGGCTGGTTATAGGTCTAGGTCAGTTTTACAGTCCCACTCTGATTTCTGCTTGAAACTGTTCAAAAGTAGGGAGCAGCAGGTTCAGCTTGTGCACTGACCCTGCAGTGGGTTATCCAAGGCTGGGAAAACACAAACCATTTTTACCTGTTGGAGATCAACAAAAGTGAAGATATCCTCTGGCCTTTTGTTTTTCACAAGCAATTTTATGAATGCTCCAGTTTGCATCTCACCACCATCTCTTTAAAAAGATTAGAAAGACAAGTTGAACTAGGAATAGCGGGATCTGAGCTGGGTAGTCAATCAACAAGACCAAATAAAGATGTGGACAAATCCTCAGAAAAAGTTGACAAACTAAAAACAAACAATTATGTGAAACTCTTAAGAACCTCAGAAAAACCCTGCTGGATCAGACCAAGGGTCCATCTCATCCTGCATTCTGTTCACACATGGCCAGCCAGCTCCCCAGTAAGACATAATGCAAAAGCTCCTATCTGCTCATGCGCCCCAGTGACAGGTGTATGGAGGAGCACTGCCTCTGAACTGCAAGAAGTATAGAGCCGTTGTAACTAGTAGCCCCAACAGCAACATAACTATGCCCATTAAATCCTGCTGCAGCCAATGCACACTGATCTTACAGCCACTATGCTCCTGTGCCCTTGTGTTTCCAAGCAGTCACACACTCATCTCAGTTGCATCAGAAAAATTGCAACATGGGAAGCCAGCATTCCCAAAAGAACACCTCTCTCTCATTCAACATCTAGGGTTTTCAAAGGCATGCCTTGGCATCTAGAAAGAGATTCCCCCGCCCCCGGGCATCACCTCATGAGACATAAGGTTGTGTGTGGGCATGTTCTAAGGCAGGACACCTCAACCCACTTACCTTTTTTTGCCCAACCAAAATATTTTTAGGAAAAGTATTTTGATAAGAAAGATAAAAGTATCTTTAAAGAGCCAAGAAAAATAAGGAGGCATAGGGAGTCTGGCAATCCATAGACACATCAGAACTCACAGCCCCACTGTTTGTGAGCCCAGCCTTATGGTGTCAAAATCTGCATGGATGCCTTGGCCAAAATTAAGTCACTGACAATCTTGCTGCTGGTGCAACAGTCACCCTGCCTCCCACTGGATGGGATGGAGACCATCTTCCCATCCCTGTCAGGCGACTTAAACAGAGCGCCGAGCAATGGTTCTTCCATGAGATTACCTTGAGAAACCCACAATTGCTGCAGTGTAAGGCTGCTACCAGCATCCACTGTTGCGGGGGCAGGGCAGTGGCAAGGGGAAGCATGTGTCTGTGGGGTGAGAACATATGTGGTGGAGAAGAATACTTGTTCTCTGGCAAAGTAATGTGAGGTCCAGTGTGTGCAAATGAAATCAATTTGCTCCTTAGTGCCTGGTATATACACTGGTTGTGGAATTCAACAGGGGGAGAGGGTAGTTACAGAAGGTGAAATCCAAGGACTGCCTCTGCCTCAGAAGTGCACACCTACAACTGAGCTGAGGACCTTGGCATCTGAGCAAAGCTTAGCTGATGTCTCAAGGTGATGGATGGGTCCCTGAGCAGTGCACTGACGTGGCACCTGCCCAACGTCATGGTGCCGAAAGGGAAAGCAGTTAGTGTGTGCAGACATCCTTCTTCACCTTGGCTAATCATCACCAGAGGACTCAGCAGCAGCAGATAAGACTTTGTGCTTCTGAAAGATGGGGGAGCCAAGGAAGTCTCACTTCGCAAGACTGCTGAGGTAAATGCCAGTACTACCCTGGGCCATTTTTCTGCTTGCTAGTGTAGTGGGATGGGCATGTGATCAGTCCTGCCTTCCCCAGCCTGATGTCTCCAGAAGTGTTAGACTAGAACTCCCATCATCCCCAAACAACTGGCTGGATCTGACAGGAGCTCTGGAGGACACCAGATTGCAGAAGGCTGGGCTGGAGGCTGTCCCTGTTCCTTGGGACAAAGTGCCCAGTAACAGTCCCTCAGAGGGCTAGCCTCAAAAGGAAGAGGCATAGATGCAGCATCCTGGTCCACCTTGTTTACCTCAGTGCAACTCCAAGCCAGGATTTCAAGCCAAAGCTTAATTCTAACGACTTACCAAAGACCAAGCTGGACATTTACAAAAATGCAAGCAGCAGTTCAGGGGGCAAAGAGGCAGGTGGTGGAATTTGATCATCATCAGGATTGCAGCAGAGAGGGGGCAGAGGTTAACCTTTTCCTTCCTTTTCCTACTTAAGGAAAACTGCTCCCATTCCTACAGAGCAGCTCTTCAGGAATAGGAGAATCAATGAAGCCGAAACTCATCAGCGTTTTCTGAGTTCTCCTTTGAAACTCAGTCCACCTCATTTACATCCCTGATTGTGGGCTTTTTTCTGTTGCTGTTTGAACAGAAAAGGTGCAATGGGCATGCATCTCTTTAAAGTACATACCCAAATGCATATTTCCCTCACTAAGTGTGCAAACCCATGAGAAATAATGGAAATACTTCTGGCTGGGGAATGTTGGGAGTTGCAGGATCTTTCTTCTGTCTAAACACACATGCAGTTGTGCCCTAAAGAATGAAAAGTGCGTTTCTCCAAAATGCACATTTTTAGAGTACACCCTTTTTCCTATAGAACACATTTTTTGAGCCAGCATCACAAGCTCAGCAATGTGGGAGCTTTGCCCACAAACCATAGTCACATTTGTATTCAGGGTTTGTGTTCAGGACAAATTTGGGACAGCAGGAATGGAAACAAAATTTGTGTGCATTCCTACTCTTAGCTGCATTGGAAGGAAACACCCCAGCCCATGGGATATCTACATTTTAAACGGGGAGCATGAAAAACATAAATACTTTAAACATCCTATCTGTCAGGAGCAAGGAGGATGGCGTGCTTGGACAGGAGTTCCCACAAGACACTAGCCATGTCAGAGATGCTTATTCCAATTCAGAGGAGAAGGAGGAATGTCTCAGGGAGATCAGGGAGCTTGGGTTGGCTCAAGATCCTGGGATGCAACAGAAGGAGGAGGAGGAGGTGGTGATTGTCTCAAGACCATCCATGTTGTCGGTGGACCTGTCCTCAGCTTGAGTGGACAACCAGTGCAAGGGGCAGTGAAGGAGGAGGAACTCCCAGATGTGGAGCAACCCCTCCCCTCAGTGCTGGGCCCTGTGGCAAGGTGCCAGCAGAGGTGAGAGGCCCAATTAAAGAGCAGTGAGCAGAGGCAGGGTACGCTTGCTTTCAGCAGTGGGGCACAAATGTGCTCATAAGGAGAGTTTTGGAATGTAACCAGTAGTTTGGTTTCAACGAACTACTTTGTGTATGCTCAGGGACTCATTTTGATTATTTGCATTTGGAAGCAATGGCATGTGTTTTGCAAGGAAAATGGCCTGAGGCTGGTGTTTGTTCATAGGGGAAAACACAGCTCATGAAACTACCTAGTTTGGCCCTAACTGGCATTCCTGTATGCACCACTTTTCTAGATGCATATACTGGGTGCTTATTATGTGTGTTACAGATACATTCACAGCATGTGCAGTGGCCAGTGAACTGGGGCTGGCAACTGCTCTTTGTCAAGTGTGGTTTCAGTGCTCAGGTACACATGATGCTACTGCCACACTTTTTAAACCAACATGCCCAAACTGCTCATGTTTATTCCGAAGCAACAGCCACTGTGGCAGACCCCCAGTCCAGAATGTGCTCCTAAGCTGGACCAGGGACCCAGCACCAGTTTTCCTCCAAAGGTCACTGAAGAGCTGCTATTTGCCCCCAACCTTCATTTGTAAACACAAGGCTTCCAAAAGTAATACAGACCATAGCAGGCATTTTTGAAAAAAATGGTCTCAGGCACAGTACCATATATCTGTGACTCACCCCCTGCTGCTGCTACTTTCTGCACTCCCAGATCAGAAAAGAGAGGAAGGCTCCAGAGCAAGGTGGCAGCAGCAGTGGTTCCAACCTGAGCTATGGGTTTCAGAATAAAAACATCGATACTCTAAAGCCTTCTCTGTTCCCAAGGAATGTCTGATTTTCTGAGTGCTTAGAGTTTCTTTTGCCCCCAGACCTGTAGAGTATGCAATTAAAGCACGACTATCGTCCAGGGCCAAAGATGTCATCACCTTTCTGGTTGGTGCCCGTAAGGTGCTGCTGTCCCCTCTCTCCCCACAATTCTCTGTTCTCTCTGATCCCAGGCAACTTCTCTGGGCTTGTTTCAAAGCTAGAGACAAGCCACTGTTCCCCTCATCTTCCCCCCATGCATGCCCTAACCCCTTCCTCCCTCCCCGCTACCATGCAATTCTCACCCTTGTTTGCATCATGGCTAACAGTGGTGCTCCCTCTCCCTGCACACCTGTTGACACCACAGGGAGGCTGTAATCCCCTCTGGCTTATCCCCAGTTCCCTCCCCAGCTGGAGGAAAGCTCCTTTGGGCCACCACAGGCAGGTCAGCCAATCAGACAGGCACACAAGGCAGGGCAGGGCAGGGCCAGGGCTGGCTGCCTGAGTGACAAATGCTGAGGAAGCTGGCTGGGTAACACTCGGCAAGAGCCAGTCAATGAGCAGAGATCTCTGGAGCAAGAAGCACCTGCTTCACCTCCTGGCACTGGCAGCAGGTCCTAGTCCCCAGGAGGAGGGAAACGCACCGGGCCCAAGGCAGCCACCCACCCATAAGGCGAAGATGCAAGCACTCCGGACGTAGCAGCAGCACAGCTCCTGACCTCCGGGCACTAGCACCAGACGACGTGGCAAGCAATCCTCCCGCCTTCCTCTTGCTGCCCACAGCCCCAAGCTTCTTCATGGCTCCTGCTTCCTACAGCCTGCAGGGCAAGCGGTCTCCCCTGGCCACACTGGCTCTGCTATGGGCATCCTTGGCCTGGGTGGAAGGAAGGCCTGGCTGTCCGTCCTGTAAGATGCCCCCTCTTGAGCCCAGCGCAGAGAAAGCCTTCCTGATCGAAGTAGCCAAGCAGCAGATCCTGGAGAAACTGAACCTGCGTGAGAGGCCCAACATCACCCACCCTGTGCCACGTGCAGCTGTGGCCAACGCCCTGCGGCGCCTGCACATGGGAAAAGCCCGAACAGATGGGACCAGGCATTTCTCTGGCTGGGACACCCCTGAGCCTGATGAGCAGGGCTATGAAATGATTAGTTTTGCAGAGACAGGTGAGTCCTCCCCATAGCTGTTCCGGGGACTGAATGCTCTGGTGCAGGGAACTCCAGGGTGCAATCCTCTCTGTGCTCAGACAGAAGAAAGTCCAGCAACTCCCAGCATTCTCCACCCAGCCATGCTGGAGAGGAGAGACATTGTTGCTTCTGGGATATGTAGCCAGTCACTTGTTTCGGTCTTTGTATGTTTTGCAGTACTTAAAAAACCTGCAAACTCAGTTTGACCAGAGGTGGCAATGAGACGAAAGAAATGTGTCTGTACGCTAGAGACATGGCTGCTGCTACCACCCCACCTTCAGCCCCTGGCTCTAGCTGCAGTCCTACTTTATTCTGTCTTCCTTGCCTATATACTAGGAGTGGCTGCCAACCAGCACACAGGATGAAGCCAGCAGTATACCATTCACTTCCTACCTTTCCACACACAAAAGTTCTATGTCTTTCACTCTCACAAGGCAGGCAAAAATTCCTAGCCAAAGCGTTCCCAAAGGTGATGGGAAAGTTTCAGGTGTGCAATCCTGCCTATCATTTACTATTCCTTAAAATGAGTGATGGTCCACTGTCAGACTATCCTACACCTCTCTGCAGCTTTCTAGCTTGATGTCTAGTTTATTACTTTGCACTTCCACTCATTTCCCAGCTTCATCCTTTCTGTGTGCCCCTAGAGATTTCAAGGCTCACACCCCACTCTGCATTCAAAGGATTGGGCCTGCTAAGGTGAACTGCACCCCAGGTCCCTTCTTGCTCCTAGCAGGCAGAGGAGGGACTCGCCTGCTACAGCAGTCCTGCTAAGAGGCACTCAGATATCAAGTTCTGGGAGGGGTATTGATTTATATATAATTGTTTGTTTTTACCATGTGGTGACCTTGGTAGCCACTGCCTGGAGAAGATTCACATGGACTATGGTGTTGCGAATGGGCTGAGCGAGAGTGTGGCTTCAGGGCACATTGGTGCAGGCATGTTCATGCACTCCGGCATGTTCCCAGGAGGTACAGATAAGGTGACCAGGTGCTCTCCTTAGGAAGGGCAGTCTGCTGTTTTGAAAAGCAGACTGAGGACATTTGCAGATGTCTTCCACTCAAAGAGCGATTTAGTCTAAATGCCGTTTAAATACAAAGAACCAAGAAATGAGAGGGCAGGGAGGGGCCTTGAAGCAGAGCCCATAAAAATGAACACTTCGACAGTAGGCTAAGTAGGCACCCAACTGTTTACAGTACCCCCTGCGACAGTGGAATGCAATGTATTTTTATTTGCATTATAATAATTGTTCCTAAATATGCAGTCTGGCATATGAATTAGCACATGCAAACGTTAGGCAGATCAGTGTCCCCTTTTCTCATGCTGTGCTTCCTCTACTCTGGTGATGAACAATAGGTTATCTAATACAAGGAAGAGTCCCCCCAGAAAGTGATGGGTGGGTGGGTGACTGGATGGAACACTTGTATGAAGGAGTCAGATAAGAATGACCTTTGTTAAAGAAGGACAGACTATGAGTAGTATTCTGGTGCAGTGGGTGGCTTTTAATTTCAGTATTCTCTTTCACTTCTTAATTATTTTGTACCTCTTTTGTGCAGAATTTTAAGCCAGCTTTAGTAGGGTCTGCCTTTCTACATATTTTGTACAGGGCAGGGGAGGGCTTGGCACCAAACAAATAATAATGATGATCATAATAATGTATGATGAGGGTAGTTATTGTTTTACTTATACATGGAACATCAGGGGCTCAGGTAAAAAACTCACTGAGCACCACTGGGTGAATCCTGCACTCACAGCCTGACCTACTGCACAAAGTTGTTCCAGGACATAACACAGATTGCTGGAAGGACTGTGTTTCAGGGGTAAAGTGCATTTTGCATGCAGAACCCTGGCATCTTCAGAAAAGACTAGGAAAGTATCCTGCCCAAAATCCAGGAGGGCCACTGGCAGTCACAGTCAACAATCTTGGTCTAGTTGGACCAATGGCCTGATTCAGTGGAAGGCAGTGTTCTAGGCATCTGTGCCCAAATGAAGCAAATGAATGTGGAGGAAAAGCAAGTCATGGATGTTTTGCTGACTTTGATGAAAGTACCCTGACTCAAGAGTACTCCATAGCAGGAAAGGATGAGCCCTTCAGAGACTGATGTCCACCTAAACTTTTGTTCTCTTCCAACAGAAGCCTCTGGGCTACTACAGTTCCAGCTCACCCACTCCAAAGGCCAAGACATGCACATCCTTCAGGCCCAGCTGTGGCTATATCTCAAGGCCCACCGAAACATCACCCTTCAGATCTACTTGGCAGGGCCTCAGCGAGCAGCCCTGGTGGAGCAGCAGCTAGAGACCAAGGGAAGTGGCTGGCACACGTTCTCCCTCATGCCAGCAATACAGAGCTTCTTCAAGCGGGAGGAGAAGACTCTGCGCCTGGAGTTGCAGTGTGACGGCTGCCACCCCAATGCCATGTCTTTGGTGACTGCTCCCAGCAGCTCCCACCAGCCCTTTCTGGTGGTTAAAGCCAAGATCCGGGAGACTGGCCATCGGGTAGCCAAGCGCAGCCTCAGCTGTGACCAAAACTCTGACGTGTGCTGCCGAAAAGACTATTACATAGACTTCCAGGACATTGGTTGGAATGACTGGATCTTTAAGCCAGAGGGTTATCAGATAAACTATTGCATGGGAGAATGCCCCATGCACCTGGCCGGTGCACCTGGGATAGCAGCCTCCTTCCACACCACTGTCTTCAACTTGGTCAAAGCCAACAATATCCAGACTGCGGGTCGTTCTTGCTGTGTCCCCACCCAACGACGGGCCCTTTCTCTGCTCTACTTTGACCCAAACAGAAACCTCATCAAAATGGACATTCCTGACATGGTTGTTGATGCTTGTGGCTGCAGCTAAGGACAAGGCAGTCACCAAGAACTGTGAATGGCCAAAGTGGGGGACATGGGATAAATTTCCTTCCATCTGTATTTGGACATCTGTGATGGTCCTGATGCTCCAATCCAAGTTGGGGTGGGTGGGAGGATGGTGAGGACTCTTCTAGAGAGCAATGGTGGCTTCTGCAAAGGAAAGCAAGATGTAATAGGAGGTAACCTTCTTGCCCCAAAATATATGTGTCCCTGGTAAAGTGTACAGAGGGTGCTAGGTAGGGCTGCCAGCAGGATCTTTGGGACTACGGACATTATTTATATTTCAGTCTGCCACTGGTGGTGGCTTCTTCCCTCCAAGTGGATCTGTAGCTAAATGGTAGAGCACATGCTGTGCAGGTAGAAGGCTTCCAAGTTAGGCCATGGGAGAAAGGTCATCAAAACATGCTCCTTGGGAGCATGGCAGTCCACAGACACAGCACATAAGGCTTCCTTCTACTTGTGATGCTCCCAGAATTCTCTTAGAGAAGACAAGAAAATTAATCACAGAAATCCCGTAGAACTGACCAGCTGAAAACAAAAGGGCAGAGTTTGGGATCCTTGTCCTGAAAGATTAATTTTAATGACACATGATATTAATATTCCCACTGCTGGTATTCTTGTTTCCATGGTTTTCCTTGAAGTCTGTGCCTCCAGGCAAACTGACCAGTGTTTTCTTGGGAAAGTAGTGGACTGAGCATGCAGGAAAAGGAAAGGACTGAGGATAGGAGGATTCCTGCATGCCCAGTTAGTCACACTAACAACAAAGGAGCCTTTGATACCATTATGCCTTTTGTATTTGTAAGTATGTGTGTGTGAATTTGTATGTTGCATCTATGTTAATGTATCTATCTATATGTTAATGTATCTATCTATATTATTTTATTTTTGGAATGAAATAATTAAAAAGGATTTTTAAAAACAACATCCAGGTGTGCTTTCGAAAATGTCATTCATTTGTAAAATTGCCCAGATATTAAGCGAGATACAACTGCAATTTTAAAAGCAGACACGCAGCTTCCACAAGATTCACTCTTAGGATTCTAGCAGTATCTATCAGCCCAGATCTTTTTCCTTCCCTGGCTTATCTCTGCCACCTACTTCCTAGGACACCAACCTCAGCACCAGCCCATTTTTTCACCAGCCCCACTTTCACTAGAGAAAATCAGCTAGGGGGCAGGGCCAGGGCTATGCAAGGAGGATACCTTATCAGTCCCCACTTACAGTTTCCCAGCAGTCATTTATCTGGTGCTTGGGTGCATAAGAGAGACAGAGTACAAGGTCCTGCCAGACTTGTAGAGACAACGTTTTTAAAACAATTAGGAATGGCTTGAGATAAATTTTACTTCACTCAGCAGTGTGCAATATTATGCACATATTTCTTTTGCCAATGGTCACCCCTAATCAAAAAGATTTGATACTACCTTTTTGAAACAAAACAAGAGCCTAAACATCTGTTTGCTTTGGACCAGGCATACATAGCCTCAGGCCTAGGGACCAAATTTGGTCCACTAGCAGACCCTATCTGGCCCCATGTGGTTCTACAAATGGTCCAACCTACTTGCCATGGCTACACCCCATTCCCTAACCACCTATCATTTGGCACTTCCCTAGCTTTTACATAGTATCTTCCCCATTCAGGAAGGATGACTCTCCTAAGGCTTAGTTGCTGGCAGGAAGAGCTTCAAGCTGAAACATACTGGTATATTTAGTGCTACTCCTTTTGCCTTTGTCCTACCCACCACTAGAGGATCTCCAAGAATTTGGCCCTCAGGCAGAAGAAGATGCAACACCCCCTTTTAAGACAAAAATGAGATGAGTAGCACTGCACATACCAATTTTCCCTGAGATGTTTCAGTTTTCAATCTCAGGAAAAAAAGTGTCCACCTCCATTCTGCTGCAAACTGCTTCTCATTTTTTTAAAGTGTGCAGCTAAAAATGTAATATATACCTGTGACAAACGAGGGTTCAAAGACATGCCTGTCATTCTAGCATAGTCATTAGAGGACTGGGATTGGGCGAAGTGCCCTGTGGCAAGTGCCCTCTACTTGGTGGCAAATCCAGCTTGTTTCTGTGTAATAGCTCAAAACAGCCTTTGGGAAAGACCTAATTTTATTCTGAGCCATTCAGTTTTCTCCTCAGGGGAGGGAAATGTGTATAGGAAAGCAAGATAAGAAGGAAAAGAAGCCTACATTCCAGTTCCACTAAGGTTCCAACAAGATGAGACTTCTCTGCCTCTCCTTCCTCTCTCTTAGTTCTGCCTGGATTGTTAGTAGAGAGTGAGCTGTTTGCACTTTGGTTTGTTTCTCCAGCAGCTTTCACAATGAACCAAACTGACCCTCAGAATTTTCAAAGTCGACAATATCTGAAACATTAACACCAGGACAATAATCATATCAAAGCAGCCCATGATGTGGTATCCAGCAGTAATAATAGGACTGTCATAACACCATTTTAAAGTCTCCTAACTGGCTGACTCTAGTGGATTTGTATGCCTTGAAAATGTAAGAAAAATGCTGTAGGAAGTGCTTTTTTGTGGGTTCGATTTATGGCAGTGGTGCATATTTAAATGGAGCACAATTGCCACCACTTATTTAATGCTAGTGTATACATGACCCTACAGGAGAGCCTGGAGGAGTGTTGTCCATAGGGTTACAATGGATCTGATGCAACTTTGCAACTAGCAAGCAAGCAAGCAAGCAATACATGACCCTAAGTATTTGGGGAGGAATGAAGTCTAGTCCAAACTGCAAGAAATCACATAACTACTTAACTGGACAGGCCCAATGCCAGACTAGAGTGGACAACTATGACCTGAAGACCTGGGTGTCTGCCTGCTTAGTCTGCTGTCCAAGTGCTAAGTGTTGATGGGTAACAGCTTTTATGGCTCTTTACCTTTGGAACAAAATTGATCAAAACACCACATCAAACATAGGATGCTTTCCACATAGAGGATAGCCTTCTTCTTCTTTTTTTTTTAAAGGATGCATGGCCACCCTATGTGCATATAGGGCTGGTGACATCAAGACGGCAATAATAGCAAATTCAGGCGCAAGAGCCGGGATCTCTTCTCAGTACTGCCACCAAGGTGCTACTACTATGACTACTAGCAGCCAAACCACGTGCAGGGCAGCCAACTATGTGACACCAAAAAAGACAGAATGCATTCAAAGGATGGAAGAAGACACCAATTTGTAGAACATTTGCATACGGTCATCTATATTATAGACACAGACTCAGCAATTATTGATCTTAAATAGAAACACTTCATTTTCATGGAGAAGAGCTCAATCCTAAGGTGTCCCATGCAGCTACCTTATGTACTGATTAGGTCCAAGTGCTGATTGTGATGGGCAACTTCAAGGTGCCTCCCTGCTTTCCCTCCTTAGGGTTCCTTAGCTTTATCTCAGACTTGAATTGGACATAGTAATATTATGTGAGCATTGCACACACTTGCAGCAAATGCAGATCTGTGATTGAGCAAGAAGTATTAAACACTTGTGATAAAGAGAACTATATTTCTTATGTACCTGTCCTCTTTTTAAGTTCTTGGATTAGTTATGGCTGTTACTTACTCTTTTTTGTGAGAGAAAATAGGTCCCTTATACTTTTTCCTATCAAGATCACTGCTCCCCATTGCTTTACAAATATTGAGCAGGAAAAAACTGGCAGGAAGTGAAGTTAAAGCCATAGGCCCATGGGCAAAATCTATCCTTCCAGAGTTTCCCAGAAGGCCATGTCCCCCCCCCCCCCCTTTTACCCCAACAATGTATTGCTTCATGGTTTTACGGTCTTCATGTCACTGAGATGCCCCACCTATGGGTTTAGTCACTGGGAGTAAGAGCTTTATGAAAAAATATGCTAAGTTTTTTTTTTCTTTTTGCACAAAACCCCTTTGCCTTTGGACCCACCTCATCTGCCTTTGGTCCAACCACCACCAGAATACAGCTTCTGAGAGTTTCTCTGAAATGGAATTTGGCACTCAGGCTGAAAGACACCACCCCTGACATAAGGCAGTCCTCAGCCTACCATATAGCTGCTTTGCGTGAACATGCCCAATCATTTCTATAGGTCTTTCTCTCTCATTATACCCTTTTCCCCAAGAACCCCATAAGTTAGGTAAGGCCAAGAGACACTGACTTGTCCAAAGTTAAACAACGCTGGACACTGAATGACCCAACAAGGTTAAGGGTGGGTATAACTCCTTTGCAAGAATATACACCATAAAGCTGCAAGAATCATGAAGCTTTGGCTGCAGTTCCTTGTTAAGTTCATACTGCCTGGCAAATCTCAGATATGCCTCACTCTCTATCTACTGTAACTTACTAACCTTCAATAAATACCTTATTATTTCAACTCCCCTAATTCCCACCTTGTGTGGCCAAGGAACATGGTGGCTGGGAATTCGGAGAGTTTCAGTCAAACACATCCAGGTTGAGGAAGGTTGCTTTATATTCTCAGATCATAAAGCTACTTAGAGCAATTCCCTACTTAGCCTAAAGGCAGGCAAATTTTATTGGATGGTTTCATGTCATTAAGGAAATGCATAGGCTTGCTGTTAATTAAAAACAAACAGTAAGTGGGGTTTTGCATCGTGCAGCAGTATACGAACCAAATACACTCTTTCAGAGTGCCCCAACTTTCTGTGGAAGAGCATGACTCAAAGTTCAGTGTTGCATGGCAGCTCAGAAACACATTATCATATCTTAGACCAGGCCTGTTCCCTCTCCCATGGCCATGGACCCGCTGCTTGGAAAAGAACAGCACAGAGAGCAAAGGGCAGCTTTCATCTGCCAGCAGGACGCTTTGTGCACAATCTGCTGCTCAGACTGATCTGTTCATGAAAGGATCACAATGTGATCCTATTTCTGGGCTGTTTAGGGATGGGCACACATCCTGATAGCCCCCCACCCCTGCAATTGGCACATACAGCTCATGGCTTATGGAAATCCAGTCTATCACTGCACCCCCCACCCATTCAATGAAATGCTATGAAATCCACAGTAAGCTCTGGGCAACCCATACCTGCAGGAGGGCATCCTCTGTAAGACAAAAACCACATTGCATCCAGCCCAAAGCTTTGTTAAGTTGTATTGCACAGTTAAATGTCTGTGCCCTTGCAATTTATTTCCAAAATGAATGTATGAGGAGAATAAGGAATTGGGACTGTACACTCCACAGGAAGCCACGAGCCACCCAAAACCATATGCCCAAATGACTTGGACAGCATCCTCTATCAGATCCATTGAATCACATGCAGGCCAAAGTTTGTTCAGGGGACAAGGAACTATCATAAGTGTGTACCCCACCATATATTCAGAAAAGAATAAGGAGCTAGGTATGTGTGCCCCACAATAAAACATCCCAGGTCATACAAACGCACCCAGAGGAGAGTGATTTTTGTGAGATCACATGTGATGCCTTTAGGCACAGGACACTGTTAAGTAAGCACTTCCTGACAGTTAGGACCCCGAGGGTATGGAATGGGCTTCCACAGGAGGTGGTTGGGGTCCTATCAGTGAGCGTGTTCAAAGATAGGCTAGACATGCACATGGTGGGCATGTCGCGAGCGGAGCCGGCTGGAGCCGGGGGTCAGACTAGATGGCCCAGGAGATCCCTTCTGATTTGCCCTGTTTCTATGTTTCTAAGTATGGGTGCTAACACCAAACTCTATAGAAAAGAGTTGGGAACTGTTGCTGTGTCTTATCAAGGTCTCTCTCCTAGAATTTTAGAGATATGATTTGGGCTGGCCCAATACCTTTACATGAGGCCACACTCTCAGATCACCAGTTACACATATTTTGGCAAAAATCATCATGCAGTCATTATTTTCCAGGATCTTT